CGAACAGGCCGAAACAGCGAATCTCAGTGACAATGTGCTCTGAGATAGCCCATGCAAGGCCGAATCCATCGTATGTACTTGTTCCGCGACCAAGTTCATCGATGATGATCAATGACTCCGAGGTCGCGGTCTTGAGGATGTTGGAGGTCTCAAGCATCTCAGCCATGAAAGTCGACACACCCTTGAGCTGCGAGTCACTCGCACCAACACGAGCAAGAATGCAGTCGAAAATAGTCAGCTCCGCCTCGGAGCATGGCACGAAGCATCCAGTTTGGGCCATCAGCGCAATGACGCCAATCTGTCGGATGTAGGTCGATTTACCACCCATATTGGGACCGGTAATGATCAGGAAGGAAGACTCATCACGGATGAGCGACACGTCGTTGGTGATAAAAGAGATGTCATCCTGCATTTCCATACAAGGATGCCGGGCCTCCTTCAGAACCGTGTTTCCAGTACCACGCGGGTGAATCTTGGGACGGACATATGGTGTAGGGGCGTGCACGGCACAATGCGCGAAGCTCACAATGACATCGAGGTGAGCCAAAACGCCAGCAAGCTGCTCGAGGACAGGGCAGTAGGAGGCAGCCACACCAACAACCTCGCTAACCAAACCAGACTGAGTGCGATTGTAGTTAGATGACAGCTGGTCGTGCTCGCGACGGAGCGCCTGCATTGTCGAGGTCGTAAAGTAGACACCGTTCTTCTGGGTTGAGCACTCCTGGTACTCTCTTTTGTTGCGAATACAGCCCGCCTCGTTGCGAGTCAGTCGGAAGCACCAGCCATGCACACGATGATTCTCCAGGAACAGCTTCTTGTCAACTTCTTGGTCCAGATCCCGGCCCACACGACGGTGTTCCGAGTCCATGTCGTGACGCAGCTTATCCAGCTTCTTGCGAATGATGCGCAAGCTCTCATCAAACTCCGGCTTAATAATGAACTCGTGGTTCTCCAATGCATCCAAGTCCACCGTCGTCTCAACCATCTCCTCCAGCTTTGCCAGGTTATCGGAATGGCTGCGCAGCTTGGACGTATACTCCGCTTCCAGAGGCGTCTGATACTGTTCATCCATCACATTCTCCAGCGATGCAACAAAGCCTGGCAGGCGAATGGCAACCTGATAAACACGCACGACATCCTCCAGTGTCGCCTGCTTCCTCTGAAACCGCTTCGCCAAGCGATACAAATCCGGGATCGAGCGCAAATGCTCCTCCTGCATAGTCTGCCGAAGTTCCGTGTCCATCACAAACGACTCCACCAGCTGCTGTCTCTTCTCAATCTCAGCTTTATCCATTAGCGGCTGCTTCAACCACTGCGCCAGTAGCCTGCTGCCCACCGGCGTCTTACAATGATTCAGCAACCCAAACAAACTCATCGACTTAGATCCGTCCCGCGGACCCGGCATGAGATTCAACGCCCTCAGCGCCGACGAATCCAGCTTCATGAACTGCGACAGATCATGCTGATAGAGACGATACTGGCCGAAGTTGGACGGATCCGTCATAACACCCAGATACTTGATCAACGCCGCCGCGGATCCCATCGCCAACTTCAACTCAGTCTGAGGCAGCGTCCCGGCAGACCTCTCATCCCTCAACAACCTCGTCAAGTCCTGCTCGATATCCCTAACCCCGAAATCACCACTGTGCCTCTCCGACACCGCAATCCCACAACTATCCATGATATTCCTCACCTTCCCCAACTCCACATCCTTCCTCCCCGCATCCATCTGCACAAGACACTCCTTCACCCCCAGCTGAATGACCAGCGACTCCAGATTCGAATAAACATCATTATCCAAGAACTCACTCACACCCAACTCCCTTACACTCGCATCCGCAAAACAAACCCCCACACTCCTCGCCTCCCCGGCCTTTGCAGAAATCTTAACAGCCAGAATGATCGGCGCTCCGGCCTCAATATTCAGCCCACCTACACTTCCCAATTCTTCTTCCACATCCTGCAAGTTCCCCGGACTCGCCTGCTTAATGAGCTTCCACTGTCCGCCGCGCCCGCTCGCAGAGCCCCAGATCTCCACTCGCCGATTGAGTCGGAATAGCGCCTCGCGTAAGAAATTGCGGAATACAGTCACGCTCATCGTCACGGAGGGCAGGCCGCCTGTGTCGCTGCGGCCCAGATTGCGGATCACAGAGGTGGTTTTGTAGACGGTGCGGGCGATGAATTCGGCTTCGGCACCGTGGGCGGAGTACCAGTCTCCGCGGTCGAAAACTCGAATGGTCTCATTGTTGTTGTTGTCGTTGTCAGAGGAGGAGGAAATGGAGCGATAGAAGCGGATGAAGCCGACTTCGTCGTCCACCTAGACAGTGTAATTAGTTTAATGTTAGCCGATTTTTCTCTTTTTAAGTTCCTAAAACAGGTAGAGCTTACCTTGAGATCTGGTCGAGATGACATAGTGCTATAGTCTATCTCCAACGAGGAAAGAGACTTGTGCGCCTGCTTGTCGGTCGTTGGAGTGGATAGGCTCAAAGCTGAGCTGCGGATAGTTGATAGTTGATAGGTATGGCTGCCGACGCGCTGCGGGAAACGCGGTCACGTGCATACGCGTCCGCGCGCCGGGTTAATTAAGGGATCTGCTGCCTGAGGTAGAAACATTAGGATGGATTACTGAGTGGGATAGGCTTAGTATTGGATGTTGAAAGGCACAGAGTCATAGTCTTAATGTTTGTTTTTATACTATCATTACATACATATGCTAATGCTACATACCGCTGACAATGCAATCATAATGCCGGAGGCATACCAGGCCACCCGGATGAGGTATCAAAAAGAACATCCATCCAAACGAAAGACACATCGGTATCCAACGTAAATCAATCAAGCGGCAGAGACAATTGTCTTCTGCGCCTCAGACCCTTCCCACCCAAGCTTCAACTGGGCCACCTTAGCTCCTATCTCCTTGGGCTGGACATCCGCACATGATTTGAGAACCACAGACTTCATCTGATTCACCGTGACGAGTGTCACCCACTCCCCAGCAACATCCTCCCGGGCCAGAATTTCCAAACAAATTTCCACCTCCTGCTGGGAAATCGGACTCCGCGCCGAGTCCTGGACATTCTGCGCAATCATCTCCATCCGAAATGGAGTCCGCTGCGCAGCCATCACAGCCTTCGCCCCGGTCCCAACATACCCAGCAGGTCTAAGCAGTGCCAAAACTCCCGCAACCTCCTCCACGCGCTCCGCAGCTGCCCTCCTCAACAACTCCTGCTTCGACGGCGGGGGTGGCAGCTTCGCCTGCCGCAGCTGCTTATCCTTAATGCGCTCCAGTAGCCCCTTCCGGCGCGTACTTGCCGCATCGATCGGTTTCTCTGGCGCATCATCCTTCCCATCCGCACGTAACTTCTCCGTCTTCAACCGAATAACTCCACCCTTCAAGTCCTGCAACCGCTGCTGTCCCTTCCGGAACGCGGTAAACGGCGTCAACGACTCATGGATCATCGCGACGCCCAGCGTGTTGACGAAATCCACCCTCGACTCGTCTCCGTCCACCGCATCCAATGCTTTCTCCCAGAGAAGGTCCACACTCTGCTCGAATCGTTCTTGCAATTCATTCTCGCTCGTCCGCTCCTCACCCTCCCGTACAATTCGCTCCAAGCACACCCTTCCCAGTCCATAATTCGCGATCCGATATCCGGGAAACGCCGTCGATGATGGCTCCTGATCCAGAACCCAAACAAGTCGTTGAATATCCTTGACTACCACCTTCCGCTTCTTCCAGAGTCGTTCAATGGTAGGGAGCAGTTCTCTCAGGTCGGCAGGGGCAGTAACACCATTGTGCATAGCATGCAGCGCAACAGCTTTCAGAAATGCCGCATGCAGGTTTACAAAGTCCTCCACAGATGCTGCACGACGATTCACAGGAGCCGGCTTTTTTGTTGTCTTCCTAGTACCTGCGCGCTTCGAGGGGGTACCCGGCGGCTGCTCAGTAACGGCAGTAGCAGCCGAGCCGCTCCTCCTCACTGACACCGGTGACCGTGCATAATGACCACTTCTAGGCGTATTCAGGGTCAATTCGCCCAATCGAAGAGTCTTGGAAGGCGTGACTGCATCCGTGCTTTCCGGTCCCTGGGGACCTCGACAGTCGACATTCTCGAGCTCGACCAGTTTGCGTTTCTTGGAAGGCGTGGCCGGGACATCTATCGTTGTGGTTGTCGTAGAGGGCTTCTTAATATCCGATAAGGAGGAAGGAGCTACAACGCCCGGCTTGGTCGCTCTTGCGAAGTTCTGGATCCCCGGTTGCTGCTGCTGTTGCAGCCCCCGGGCTGCCTGTCTTGTGGAATAGGTGCGCGGCATCGCGGTTTCCGAGGATTAAAATGAGGAAATTAAGGGATAGGAATCCTATTGGCGTATCATAGAGTAATTATTAAAGAATTAAACCCTGTAGATAAGATAGGATAGAAGTGGTAGTGTATGTATGGGAAGTCTGGGGAAGAAGAAGATAATGAGTGTTAGAGAAAATCCACTAAAACGGGGAATGATTATTCTTTTTTCTTAAGGGATGGGCTGGATGGATGGGTAACAGCGGGTAGCGTGGATTTTAGGTGGAGATCGCGCGCGACGCGATCAAGTCGCGTCTTCTGTCATTTAGCGTATCCGAGCTGTCCGGATGGGGTAATATTAGTTTTGAGTTGGGGTCATGATACATTGACTTTTGATGAATGCAGCAGAGAATTATATCATTCACTCGTTCACTTGGGGGGATTTGTTGTTTTCTCAATAGTAGCCATGCTTCCTTGTCTACAGATGAATGAATGGATGAACGAATGTACGTATGTAGATGCTGCTCCCCCATCACTAGAGCAATAATCAGCTTCGGAATGCAGCATACCGTAACCCCCCCGCACTGTTACTGCTGCAGATTGACGGAAGTATGCTCTAGAACATTGCTCCCTCTCCACTATTTTCATACTTTAGTTCTAGACAGATAGCTAGTAGGGATTAGACTAGTCAGTCACTCCATATCTAACCTTACTGGGTCCGTTAAACTCTACCTCAACACACTACGTAACTATTCCCACTAAACCACACGTCCCAACACATACAGACAACAATATCCAGACAGACAGAAAGAAGGATAGACAAATGCATCATTCATTAACACCGGTTATGACAATCAGCGTCAACCCCAAAGGTGAGTTAGGTTAGATAGGTACATAAACACACCCCACACAAGACCAGACAAGACACTCGTCATTCTTATCATCATAATAATTATAAAAAAAAAAAAAGATGCGTGTTAAAGAGCATCATAAAGCCCAGCCCAGCTAAGCTCCATTTTCAATCCACCTCCCTACCCTTACCCAGGTACTTCCTCCTCGTCATCAATCATATAAATTATTTCAGGGATAGATTATTTCTTCCCCCCAAACCAACCCGACACCGTCCCCTTCGCCTCAGCCGCCTTCTCCTCCACCTTACCCTCCAACTTCTCGGCGCCTGAGCGCAACTCGGCCGTCGTGTCGCGACCAATCTTCTCCAGACGGTTCATGCTGTCTTTGGCGTCTTTGCTGGCGGTGTCGATCTATCACCATCACCAAGATATCATTAGCATTGACTCATACCCTGAAATGAACAGTGAAAAAGAAAGTAAGGGCTTAACATACCGCCTCATCAACATTCAACCGTGTCTCATACGCTGCCTTTTCACCTGCCTTTTCGGCTTGATCGCCTGTGGGTGCCTTGAGACGGGCGAGGTGGGCGTCATCTACACATAGACATTAGCCAACAAACATCAACATAAGACAACGAAAAAGAAAGGGAGTAGCATACGCCTCATCTCCTCCTTAGCAACCTTGGGATCGCCTCCAGCGCGGTACATGTAGTAGCCACCGGCGCCGAGGGCAGCAATGCCGAGGTAGAGGGCGGTAGGGTTCTTCGACATGGCGAGGATGAGATAGTAGTAGTAGTAGTAGTAGTTGTTGTTGTTGGTTTTGTATGTGTGGATGGTATGTATTGATCACTTTCTTCGGATATAGACAATTCGAATGCTTGCAACTTGAATGAATCCGGTACAAGAGGGACAGAACAGGTACTTATAGATTGTAGATGGTGAAGTGAAGTTGGAAAATGAACTTTGGTTGTAGCTGGGCAGAGAAGTAATTGAGTGGCTAGGCAGTGTCACAGGGTATGACGTCTTTGGAAGTGGTCCGGCTTCGGTCCTCTTCTCCTCTCCTCAGGTGGTACAGGCGGCTTTTTTTTTGTTATCCTTACGGATTACAGAGTGTATTTGCTTGTGCGAATCAGCTAATCTAGGCTATTGTTTCTAATCTAGGGGTATGTATTTTTTACTACTTCCCGCATATATTGTCTATGTAGTAGGGAAAATGTTAACTGTGTTTGCAGGTGCAGATGGAGAGTAGCTACGGAAGCTATGCTGCTGCGGCCGGAGTACGCGGCGAGGATCGGCTGCGGGACCGCCACTACGTCACTGCAAGGTCATCGGGTCCAACGGCTTCCATGACCCAGCTCTTCTTGCTTCTTGAGACAGTACTAAGGAAGGACACGGGGTAAATGTTGCTGGGGAAGTGGGCGGGTGTGAATCGAACACGTCATGATGGGGTTGTAGTTATCTGCTCCTTGCTGAACCAGTTACGGTGGGCTACAAACAACTATGCTCTATACTCAGATTACACTGGAAATGAAGGCATTGGATCTCTGACATTTATCACTTTACCCGCAGCTGTTTGCTAATTGAATCCCCACTGTTGCAGAAAATAGACACATATAATGAAATACACAGAGGGCCACACTCGGACACCATAAATGGAGCACAATGGAAAAATATAGACAGAAGCCGAACACACAATCGAAGCCACACCACGACCAGAGTAGGAGACTCCTTCCATAACCTCGTAGCTGAGCTCGAGATCAAGGCCGGGGGGTATCTTCATGCACTATGGACAGCAGACCGGAGGTGAGGAACGCCAGAACATGCAACCGGACAAAAAGAAAAGAAAAAGAAAAACCAACAGACAAAGAAAAAGAAAACACCCGAACGAAGACACAGCAATTGTCAGAGAAGCCCATATATCGATCCAACCCACTGATGCATTATTCGTCAGTCATCACATCATAAAGATTCCCGCAGCCGAGCGGTGGTGTGCAGCTCCGAGTAACGAGAGGCTAAGTATCTAGCAATCCGCAGTTATATCAAGAACAAAGAAAATGTAGAGGATCCCCCAGAAGGAAAAAGACCGGGCGCCCCGTACTATACAACTCCGGCTCGAAACAAAAGAGGAAATGGCGGGAAAACCGAGAACGATCGACTTCGGAATTGAAACCACTCTGCCCCCTGCACGCAGAGGACATCCCAACAACATGCTCACACCAAGACTTCTTCACAGGAACAGCTTCGCTGCGCTTTTGTTCTCACTCGTGGCAACGGCAACCAGTGCCTCCAGCCGGCCCATTCCAGGCTCTCGGGCGGTATGGGGCAGGAATTCGGACCGTGGATCATGTTTGCCGTGATAGCTATCGGTCTGTGGGGGAAGCGGGGGACAGGCCTGCAGTTCAATCAGTGATTTGGCCCTCAGCGATACTCCGGGTAACGGGTGCGTACTGCATGAGAAGTATCGGATGAAAACGGGGGGTGGTGCGGCTCCACGTATCCATTGTTGTGCACAATGGCGGGATGGTATTCAAGGGACGCAGTTGAAGGAGTGTGTACCCCTTCGCTGCTACTGGAGTCCTCGGGCGAAGTTCGCGTCGCCTGGGAGCTCGAGGTAGCATTGCTGTAGGAGGGAGCATGCCCATGTCCTCGGTACTCGTGGAACTGTGGCTGGTACGAAGACGAGGGGCGAGATCCCACATTGTGAATCTCTGCAATGGTCTGCTGGCTCCAGTTCGATGCGTCCCGCTGTGGAGGCTTGTCTCTGATGTGCAGGCCAGTAAGGTTCGTGTGCAATGACATGTCCCAAGAGACATGACCCCGTCGGTGGCCAGGGCCCGAGATTGGCGGTGCCGGTCGTTTGGCCGGCTGTGTGTAGTTGTAACCCCCAGCAAGGTTATAATTTGGAGGAGGCTTGTTAGGGTTGTCGATTTGCATCGGACTCGACCGCCGAACGGGCGGGGTCAAGGGTCTTTGAGCCACTACCTTATCAAAGCTCTCAATTCCTGGCAGCCGCGGTGGCTGCTCTGCGGATCCATTGGCGCCAAAAGATGGCTTAAAAACTTCTGGAGTCTGGTAGTTGCTAAGGCCGCTCGTAGCAGGCCGAGGGACCGTGGACCAGGTTGAAGGATGCCAGGTCCTTCTCCTGAGATCAGCATCGGTAGCGCCGTGACTTGTTTCGTCGCGGGAGATTGAGTATGACGAGCTAACAGGGCTCGCGTAGACGCCTCCATGGGGAGCATACGCTTGCGTTGGAACGTAGTTCGGTGGGTAGGCATTGACGTGCTGCGACGCGAATGGGTTCGCACCCGTAGGCACGGAGAGACGGCGGGCGGCAGTTTTGCCTTCCCAGAAGCCCGAGGCCTGTGATGCAGTAGAGATGGGGGAAGCCACGTGCGGGCTGCCATTGCCGCCCGCTGAGAAGATGTGGTGAGACGGCGTGTAGGGAGATCCGCCGGCTGCTGGGCCAGGTATTCCGCGGGCTGGTGGCGTGCTAGGAGCATCCATCGGCTCCATCAGACGCGCCCTATCATTCGCCATCATCAAGGGTGGAGGTCGGCGACGAAGCTCCTGGGGCTGACTGAAGGTGGACGCAGTTGAGGTAATACTCGAGGCAGAAAGGTTTCGACTGTGACCTCGACTATGGGTTCCCTGACTGCCCGCGGTTCCTGCTCTAGCTCGACCCTGGGGTCGTACACGGTCTGTCCGAATCTGACGCTGGAACCGTGTTCCAGTGGCTGCAAGAGAGTCTCCAGGGATTTCTTCGTTGACGTGCACCGTCTGAGCATGCTGTCGCAAATTGTCGAGGCGGGAAAAGCGACGTGAACAGTGACACTGAAAGGGACGTTCCCCGGTATGTTTGCGGATATGTCGAGCGAGATGTTCACTCCGTGTAAAACTCAGGTTACAGGGTGGGAAGTCTGTGCAATAGAATCGCTGACCCTTCTTCTTCTTCGAAGGTGGAGCGCCACCCTTGTTTTCCGCCTCATGTTCAGATCCTTCGTCCGACTCACCGTGTACGGCATCGTCTGAGGTCAGCGATGCACTCCCCTGGGAATCGGCATGGTGATGTGAGTCTTCGATGCTATTTATATTCCGAGGCGTGCTCTCGTCATGGGCGGCGATCATGGACGATGTCGTATCTTGGGGCGCCGCGCTGGGCTTGGCATGAGGGCGTGGTGTGGAAGATGTTGTCGCCTCCTCCATGACGCGGTCCGGCGGCGATGAAATATTATTCACAGGTAAGAATGAAGACATATTGACAGCGAGGGCAACCCTCTACTCCACCGAGTAGTCTATGTACTGTTCCGAAAACCGACAGGCGAGCGATCGACGGGATGCGAGCTCGAGCCGTTTCAAGGGCGAAAGATGGAGGTTTCAAAATGTCAAAAACGCGGTGTCGATCGCACGATGCTGACTACTGGACAAATGTGCGCAGCAATGTAAGCAAATGAACCATCGTGTTTAAACATAATTTCCGTTATGAATAAAATTTACCACCTCAAAATGAAGGCGTAAACATTACCAGCAAGGGAGTAGTGAGGGGGATCGTTTTGGTTTCTGGGACCAGGCGAACGAGGAGGGGGGAGAAAAAAAAACGATTTTTGGAAAACTTACGAAGGAGGGGAGGTAACTCAAGGTGTTTCGAAATCCGAGCGAGGGGTTGAAAATTGAGGAATGTTAGAGACAAATGGCGATGACTTGTTTAGCCGAATGCCCGACGATGATGGCGAAGCAAGGGTAGCCAGGTTGTACACGATAGATGGAAGGGCACGACCATTAGGTGTGAGGACGCATCGCTCACAGATCGACCTGGCCGAGAGGAGGTAGGGACAGCTGGTTGATCGACCGACAGATAAGACTGGTGGACTAGACGGGCAGAAGGATAGGATGACGGAGAAGGGAGGGAGGTGAGTCGGTGATCACTAATAGTAAAAGAGGCGGCGGCGACGGCGGAGGATGAGGACGTGGTAGTTGGTGGTGGTGGTGGTCAGCGGTGGTTGTTTGGAGAGATTTGGCGGACTCAATCGAGTTTCCCGCCGACGTCGAGTCCTGGTTGTGGGTATGACAGTCAGGACACCGACCCAGCCAAGACCTGAACTAATGGCAATAAAAATAGGTGTATCGCGAACCGATCGGGCCCCTGGTTTACGGATCGTCCGGGGAGAAACCAGGCATGCACAACGGAAACAATAAACGGAGAAGTCAAATGAAAATAGAACAGGATGAAAATAGAAAGAAAGAAAAACAACCAAAATCAGAAACTAAAATGTGATATGGATTGCCCAAAAAAATCAAAAATTGTATGAATCATATAAATAGTATAGGGACAAAACCAACCAGGTCCAAGCTAGGCTGGGCACTAGTAAGAGATGATGTACAGGCACCAGGGCCACGAGGGGCGGTGATGGATGGGAAGGATGAGGGGAGGGGGGAGGGGGGGTGGTGTGTTGGAAAGGCTGGAAAAAGAAAGATGGGAAGAATGGAAAGGGAAGAAGGATGATGGTCAGAGGGTGAGACGGGAAAGTAAAGTAAGTAGGCGCAGGAAAAGAACAACAAGAAAGGAAGAAGAGGAGGCTGATGGATCCCAAACTTTAGATTGGAGGGAAGGGAAGGGCGAGAGTCCATACAAGTAGAGTGTAGCCTGTAACCAGGGTGAAGATGACGGCAACCCACCACCCCAAACAGGTGAATGGTGACGACGATAGTGCCGGGCGTCAGGACCCCAGCAGAAACACTTCAGGAGATGGAGAAGCAGCTGGAGGCTGATCGGAAACAACGGTCGATTCGGCAGCGGGCGGCGAAACGAGGGGCACAGACAGGGAAGGATGAAAAGAAGAAGAGTAGTGTAGTGAGTAATGAGAAGATAGTTTGATTGTAGATGATAGTAGGACGAGAAGAAAGAGTAGGTGAGGAGAGAGAGGGAGGGAGAGAGGGAGAAGGTCAAGAAAGAGACGAAACAAGCGTCAAGAGGAGGGGGGAAAACCGGTGGAGAGAGTAAGA